CACCAAGAGCTTGTAACACTCCAAAGAGAAAGGAAAAATTGAAATCGCATCATATGACCCCTTTAAAATAAAAACACAACGTGAAATACAATGCTTACTTTCTTCACTGAGTTGAATATCTCTAGAGTGAATCTCCAGTTGACAGATGAACGTGATAACTTGTTGCGAAGAACACAACAGATATATTTACCTCAGAGAAGAAAGTATGCTGATGGAATTTTGCTGTGTTTTTATAAATCTTGATTTGTTAAAAAGGTGCACTCAGGTGTTTTTTCCGGGTGAGTCGGTGTGAACAGAGTTGCTAAAAGAGTCTCATGAACGCACAGTTGTGTACAGAACACCAATTCAATTTAGGTTTGTTTGTTCCCATATACCTCCAGAACAGAAGGGCATACGGTGTTGGAACGATGACTTCACTTTAATTTCTGTGTGAACAAACCCTTTACAACCTCAAGGGTTAGCTTAGCAACATGCTAACGGCAAACTCTATTGGAATTCATTGTAGGTCTAGACTAAGGTGAGGAGCAATTTCAGTTGCTCCCTAATATGTAAATATTTTAAATCAGTCACTAATGAAGCTCCATTTACATTAGGATGCTGTCTTGTAGGCAGTAGACAGCATGGCAGCTCACTATAAAGCTTTTGAACTTCAGAATTCAAGGATGCAAATTTAAAGGTCTATTATCTTCTTGCGACTTCATCTAAACAGCTTCATTCACTTAAGGGCATATCATGCTAAAATTAGTCATTGCCAGATGTGGGAAGAAGTTTTGAATGTGTGTTTTTATATCAATGGATGGTAAATGCACAACAGCATTGAAGAAGTAGTTCCTCAAGAAGTTCTGAATGAAGATGAAACTATAAGAAACATCAGCATGTTTCTTTGATATTGTTGTGAACCTTCTTGGATGGCAGTGAAAATATGGACAAAACAATGCAGATAATATTATTATACTGGCTGATATGCATCAAATAAAGTGGGTTGTTCTTTGATATCTAATCTGAGGCTAATTATGGATCTCCTTAATTAAAAAGTAAAGTAATTAAGACATTATTAGCATCCACCAGTAATGGATAAGCCTTGTAATTCATAGCACACATCACAAGAGATGAACAAAGAATCCCTGGACTTATGGCAAACATTAGCAGCGAGTTTATTAAAAGCTTTCATGTTGGCAAATTTGCTTTTAATCATCTCAAAATGGGTTTAGTGCTTTGGTCTGTTTTCTTGCCCTCTCTGTAGACTTTCCTAAACATCTCCATTCAGTGGTCTTCATTAAAAAAAAAACCTCAGATGGTGCAGAAGGAGGGTTAAATGCTGTGTTTCTATGCAGGTCTGGGATCATAGTGTCATTCCTGAGGGGGCACTTCCTCCATCCAGCCCCACATCAAGGGCAGTAATAGGTGAAACACTTACACGCAGTACACTAAATGAATAATGCAGAAAAATCAAATGCTCTGTAGTGACTCACTGCCAACGGTCAAGAGCAGGTGAGTGTGCTGTGTGTCAGAAAACAGCATTCAAATTTTGTTCTGTGTTTTTAATTTGGTAAACCCATAATACAGATACAGATCTACCACTTTTCTGCTGTGTCACCTTAATAAATGTGGGATAAAATTAATTGTTTAAGATTTATTTGTGCTCATTTATATCTGATTCATTCATTTCTTTGAATGCACATTCAAATTTGATTAGAATAGCTCGATTGAGTTATGTAGATATTGTGTATTTTGATCAAATATGATCATGTGTAGCTTAAGTGTCAAAATACCTTACATATAATTAAAAATAATAATTAGCATATATCTAATTTTCATAAAAAGTATTTAAATAATATTTGAATATAGTACTGTTCGAAACTTGGGGTCAGTACAATTGTTTTTATACTTTTGAAATCACTTGCACCACGACTGCATTTACTAGATCAAAAATACTCAGTACATCAGTAATACTGGAAAATATTCTTACAATTCAAAATAACAGCTTTATATTTAATTATAAAACAGAGAGTTCCGGTCCTTGATTCTGATTGGTTGAGCCACGTTCGAAGCTGTTGTAAATTACTCTACAAACATACACCTTTGTTTACATTTGTCTGTTGCTTGGCAACCACTTTGTTGCAACCACAACTGATTCTGAGGAACTACATTGTTTGGCGGAAGAATACTGTTTTTATTAATATCATTGCACTTTATTTGCTCTGTTCTATTTTGTGAAACCTTACTACGTATATGGAATAACCATTTTATAAACGCAATAAGCCCCGTGAAGCCGTGGTTTACAGTGAATTTATAACAGCTAAGGGGGATTTAGGCACTCCGCTTCGTGTCTAACAACGCCCCTTAGCTGTTATAAATTCACTGTAAACCACGGCTTCACGGGGCTTATTGCTTTAATATATTTTAAAATGTCATTAATTCCTGTGATGCAAAGCTGAATTTTCAGCATCATTACTCCAGTATTCAGTGTCACATGATCCTTCAGAAATCATTCTAATATACTGATTTGCTGCTCATTATCAATGATGAAAACAATTGTGCTGCCTAACATTTATTTATTTATTTAACTTTTTTTCAGGACTATTTGACGAGTTGTGCGTTAAAAAAAACTGCATTTATTTGAAAGAAATATTTTGCATCACTACAAACATCTTTACTATCACTTATGATCATTTAACACATCCTGGCTGAATAAAATGATTCAAAAATCTTATTGACCCCAAACTTTTGAATACTAGTGTACATTTATAAGCTTCATATATGAGAATATGAGACATTTACATTATCCATATAATCACAGAGCCACAAAACAAGTACCAACAAGGTGGAATTATACAAGACTGTCAAATTACACACAGCCTCAATCTGGCAGCCCACATGTCTATTATCCTGTACTTTTACAAATGGAAATGGAATTCCTAAATATAAAGGCTTAAATCATCTAGGCAGCGTATTATCTGCTGGAGTACAAATCTAAAACGGTGCCTCGGTGGTTACTATCTATACACTCAGGTTCACGAAATGAGGTCGGATTAGTTTATGCATTATTAAATACACTCAAGATAAAGGCCAGGCTATGGATCACTTTACAGCCACACATATGGAAACAAACCCACTGCTAATTCCTGCAGATCCATTTGAAGCCATTAATAATGGAGAATTAGTGCAGAGTGCTGAATTAAAACGGTTTGCTGGCTGAAACAGGCTTTTTATGGAAAGACTAGAAATACGATATGCTAATCGACCGTTCGTGCGCTGCTTATTTGAAGCGGAAAAGGTGTTCCTATCTTTGAAGCGACACTGCTCTTTCTTCGATGTGATATTTAAATCACAGCAGTCGTACGGCTGTAAATGATGTGAGCGCTTTGAGCCGAGCGGAGAAAGGCGATCATTAAATGCCCGATCAGATAAAGGCCAGCAATTTCCTCCAATTACCAACCCAATCAACACCATCAGGGGTAAAATAACTGCATCAATAGACATGAGTGTGGGCGGTTCGTTTACAAAAAGAGGAATTGAGGCCCTTGATTGGACAATACAACAGGAAGTGATACACACAAACATACACAGCATGCACATTTCTGTATTAATGATCTCAATCTGCACAATACAATTTCCCACAGCGCAATAAATTCCTAAGATGTGACTGTGTGTATACAGTATGTACTTACTGCACAGACTTGGACACCTGAGACCTGAACTTGGTAAACTCTCCTGGTGCGGTCCATTCAGATCCCAGCTGAAATACAGAACAAACCAAAGGATTCCTTGATCATTAATGTTGTAATCAATGTGTAATTTGGTTTACATAAAATGATCTACTAAATGAGACGTCTCTTACTTAAAGGAATAGTTCACCCCTCAAAAATGAAAATCTGCTGAAAATGTACTCACCCTCAGGCCAACAGTTTGTTTGTTCACGGGAACAGATTTGGAGAAATGTAGCATTGCAGTGAATGGGTGCCGTCAGAACGAGAGTCCAAACAGCTGATAAAAACATCACAATTATCCACCAAGTAACCAACACCACTCCAGTCCATCAATTAACATCTTGTGAAACAAAAAGCTGCGTGTTTGCAAGAAGCAAATCCATCAATAAAGCATTTTAAATTTAAAGCATTGCTTCCAGCTAAAATACGAGTCCTCGGATTCATATTGATTAGTGAAAAAAGTCATCTCATCCGAATCAGGAGGGGAAATATGCACAGATCAAGTTCTAAACAAATATGTGGGTGGATTTTGATGTGAGAGACAAAAGGAGATTAACTTTTTCAATGGAGGGAAGCGTTATTATGGATTATGGACTCGTACTTTGGCTGGAAGTGATGGTTTAAAGTTAAAACGTCTTGATGGATTTGTTTCTTACAACCACACAGCTTTTCATTTAACAAGATGTTAACTGATGGACTGGAGTGGTGTGGATTACTTGTGGATTATTGTGATGTTTTTATCAGCTGTTTAGACTCTAATTCTGACGGCACCCATTCACTGCAGAGGATCCATTGGTGAGCAAGTGATGCAATGCTAAACTCATCTACATCTTGGATTTTCAGCAAATATTCATTTTTGAGTAACTATTCCTTTCATATTATCCTTTTTCATTTAAATTTTATAATAATATACTTTTTTTTTTCTTTACTCATAATAATTGTTTTAGTATTTTTATGTATTTATTTCTCATTATCTGACCATGAGTGTATAGGTGAGGCTTCTGAACAACAAATAGTTGTGTAAATGTGGGTGGTATATATATATATATATATATATATATATATATATATATATATGGGTAAATGATATAAGAGTGTGTTTTTCAAAGAAAAGTTTACATTTAATGTCAAGTGGTACAATCGTGGTCAAAATTGTTGGCACCCTTGATAAATATGATCAAAGAAAGCTGTGAAAATAAATCTGCATTGTTAATCAATTTGATCTTTCAAAAGTGGGGGGAAAAAATCACATTATGAAATAAATGTTTTTCTCTAATAATGACCACAATTACTGGTATCCCTAGAAATTCTTATGAGTAAAATATCTCTAAAGTATATCCCCAGTCATGTTTACAATTTTCAGCACACCAGAGTGACTACAAACATGAAATTATGCAGCCATGGCTTTCTGTTTCACAGGACTACTGTATAAATATGAGAAACACAGAGGCCAAATTCCCGTAATCATCCATCACAAGTAGTAAATCCAAAGAATATATTTCTGATGTGCAGCAAATGATTATTGAGCTTCACAAATTAGAAAGTGGCTGCAAGAAAATATCTAAAGCATTGAAAATGACCAGTTCCACCATCAGGGAAATAATTGAGAAGTTCGCATCAACAAAAAAATGTTACAAATCTGCCTGGAAGTGTGTCTATATTATCTTAAAGCAAGGCGAGGAGGCTAGTGTGAGTGGCCAAAGGATCACAGCTGGAGAACTGCAGAAAATATTTTCATAATTAAAATTTTTATATATATATATATATATATATACTGCATATATTTATTTATATATCAAACATCACCTACATCACCTTTTTTAAAAATATGCACAGGTGGAGTGGAGGTACACATCATGCTTTCAATAAATGCTCAATCTTGTGGAAGAAGTTTTGCAGTACAATGAAGCCTTTTAATGGCAAACTGACTCCTCAGTGGTCCGGTTTTGACCATTGCTGCAGGGCAAGCATGTACTTGTCTGAACTGACAACACAGTGACAATGGCATATATGAACCACCATGGCGGTGTACGCTCCCGTTGCATGTTGCAACTCGCCCGCCATCTCCTCCTCTGGAGTCAGACTCGGCTCAAATCGCTGCGTGCCGTTCATGTTCCGGGAGAGCTCAATCGTGCAGCGGATGCGCTCTCACGACAGCTTACCCTCCCCGGAGAATGGAGTCTCCATCCTCAGGTGGTTCAGCTTAATTGGAGTCGATTCGGGGAAGCCCAGGTGGACCTGTTCGCTTACCAAGAGTCCTCCCACTGCCGACTGTTTTGTTCCCTGACCGAGGCTCCCCTCGGCATGGATGCGCTGGCCCCAGGGTTTACGCAAGTATGCCTTCCCCCCAGTGAGCCTCCTTGCACAGACCCTGTGCAGGATCAGGGAGGACGAGGAGCAGGTCCTGTTGGTTGTGCCGTTTTGGCCCACCGGCACCTGGTTTGCCGACCTCATGCTTCTCGCGACAGCCCCTCCCTGGAGGGTTCCCCTGAGGAAGGACCTTCTTTCCACGATCTGGCACCCGCGACCCGATCTATGGAACCTGCACATCTGGCTTCTGAATGGGACGTGGTAGACCTCTCTGGCATTTCTCAGGCCATGATAGATACTATCACTCAAGCTAGAGCCCCCTCTACGAGGCAGGCCTATGCATTGAAGTGGGGTCTATTCGTTGAGTGGTGTTCCTCCTGCAGAGAGGACCCTCAGAGATGCTCGGTTGTGGTGTGGTGCTTTGGAGCGGAGGCTGTCCCCCTCCACACTTGCCTGTCAACATTTGCATTTGCAAATTACGTAACACGGTTCGGGTTGTGGCATTTTCCATACGGACCCCTAACGTCGGCCAACGTAACATCGAATGTGACTGACTGAAAGGGAACGTCTCGGTTACGTATGTAACCCTTGTTTCCTGAGGGAGGGAACGGAGACGTTACATCCCTCATGCCACAACCTCAAACTGTGCTGAATGCTGGGATGCGTCTCGGCTCCTCAGCACAAACCTGAATGAGTGGATGCACGCCGCCATCTTATATACCCGTATGTACGGGGGAGTGGCTTGGCATGCAAATTCCACTCACCAATTCTCATTGGCCCTTTCTTCTAAATCTCAGAGGTGATTGGGGCTCCCGAGTGAGACCCCTAACGTCAGTCGACGTAACATCTCCGTTCCCTCCCTCAGGGAACAAGGGTTACATACGTAACCGAGACGTTACTTGTAATGTGTTGCCCGCAACACTGGTCATGTATTTAAATATATTTGTAATGATGAACTTGCAATTTAGTACATTTAAAATACATATTAACTTTAAATGTAATACTGTATAAGACACTACTGCTCAAATTATAATCAAGTACTTTACATGTGCTATAGGGCCAGATTTACTAACAGCTTGCGCAAGCGCAAACTGTCTTTTGGCGTTAAAATAGTCCTGTCAGGATTTACTTAAGACGCACAGTGAAGAATTAGCGCTGAAAAGGTGTGGACACAGTTATTTTTGCACCTGAACTTATTGAATATGCATTTGTAGGAGTTTCCCTTTCAGACGCAAAATTTATGGGAGGAGAGTATTAAAATGTATCACGCAATGCGATTTACTAATGTTTGTGCTCGTCAAATTACTGATATTTGTGCCATTATTCAACGCCCTAAAAAAATGTCTTAAAGCAGGCACTAATTTGCGCTGCTCTTGGTAGACTGCGCTGGTCATTATGGAAATGATCTGGCTGTGTGTTTACGTATGTGATACTCTTCAAAATGTCCTTGTTGTAGGAAAATAGGATCCTTGCTGTCTATGGAGGGTAAGAGAGCTCTCGGAATGCAACAAAAATATCTTAATTTGTGTTCCGAGGATGAACGGTCTTACGGGTTTGGAATGACATGAGGGTGAGTAATTAATGACAGAATTTTCATTTTTGGGTGAACTATCCCTTTAACATGTCAAAATAATTATACTTCTTTAAAGTACAACAAAAATTATTAAAACATGATTTAAAATGTTCTTTACAGTAAAATGTTTAATTTGACATTATCACAACATGCTCTTTTTCAAAATCTACTCAAGTGGGTTAAAAAACTGTTAAAAACTGAACTCTATAAGAACACTCAAATGGTTTTTTTCATTAAAATGATCTGAAAGTAGTTTCTTAAAAACAGACTTTTAAGATCTGAAGTACACTACAAGTGCACATTCAATACAATTAAGCACACTTCTTTTCACAGATGTTTTGCAAATGAAAAGATGTACACTCAAATGTTTTTTTTTCATTAAAATGATCTGAAAGTAGTTTCTTAAAAACAGACTTTTAAGATCTGAAGTACACTACAAGTGCACATTCAATACAATTAAGCACACTTCTTTTCACAGATGTTTTGCAAATGAAAAGATGCATCAAAGGAGACATAAGAACATTAAAAATGAGATGGACACATGATTATTCCACTCTAGTACCGTTTCCATTCAAAACAGTGGGAGGGATACCCATAATGCTTTAAAGCTAGAAGATTTATATTTACACTGATGACTCATTTTCTGCATGAGCTCCACAGAACATCCACCCTCTAAAGGGAAAAATGTGAATGGTGCTTATGGAATTTTTTTTTGGCTACAGGGCATTGTTGTGTAGTTTATAATCGGGTATTCAGGGTGTTTTATGTGTTATGAGTCAAAAGAGTCTACTCGTAGTCTCCAGATATGGATGGAGTCATCCTTTCAGTGTATGTCTATGGGATTTTGTATGCTTGTTTTATTGTCCATCGGGTGAAACTCTTAAAGGGATAGTTCACCCAAAAAAACTTAATTCTGGAAGACCTTCACTCCCTTGTGTCATTCTAAACCTGCATGATGTTCTTTCTTATGCAGAACACAAAATAAGGTATTTTGAAGAATGTTTGGACTTCACTGACTTTCACTGTATAGATCAAAACAATGAAAATGCTGCTGTTCTTTGTCTTAGTAGCTAACGTTATAATCAGGACTTGAAAACTTGCTCGAGTTATAATTGCGAAAAATTAAAATGTTCCCTTAGGACATGTTTACTACATTCAAATATGTTGCATCAAGCAAAAATCTATCACATGACAAGCAACTTATCGTGAAATGTTCGTAAAGATTAGTAGTTTTACACCGTTTCCTAACCAAATACGATGTGATACAACTCTGGTGACAATCGATATGTCTGTTCTCACCAGATGCGACAGGTACAAAACGCAACAAAATCAATCACAAATCATAGCCAAATCAAGGTACATGATACCGAATCAATTGTTCCAAACATCGAAACAACTGTTGCTTGTTGCGTTTCGTCATCACGGCTAGTTAGAAAAATCTCTCCCCTCCTTCTAACCAGATGTGCCGCGACACGCAATAAACATATATTTTTCATGTTAATCCATGTTTTCTATGTTAAGAGGACAAATACTTGTGAAAATGTTTATATATTGAAATATGGCACATCAAGGAACAATCAATCACAAGACAGATGAACCAATGCTGTTGTTGTCGTTGTTGCCATCAGTGTTGGGTGTAATGCATTACAAGTAACGTAATCAGATTACTTTTTCAAGTAACTAGTAAAGTAACGCATTACTTTTAAATTTACATCAAAATATCTGAGTTAAATTTTCAAACAAATAACTTAAGTTACTTTGTTTTCCGAATTATTCACTGACACCTCTCCTGTTCCCATGTTAAGAGAAATTGGGAGTAAGTGCAGAGGCACTACTGTCAGCCTGAGGCTTATTCATTTCACTTTTGGTGTGAAAGGGCCCTTACAGTTGCCAAAAATATAACTTTTGGCTGACAAAAAGTAACGCAAAACTATTAGTTACTAACACAAAACAATTTGTTACTTTTTATGGAGTAATGCAATATTGTAATGCATTACTTTTAAAAGTAACTTTCCCCAACACTGCTTGCCATGGTGCATTATATTCAATTGTTTGTAAAGATGTAGAGTTTTATCATGTTTCCTAACCAGACACAATGTAATATGACTCTAGAAAAGCAATTTGTATGTTCCAAAATAGAGTCGACTGTTGCTTTTTGTGCATCGCCATGACGGCTGGTTCGAAAAATCTTCCCCTCGCTAAAACGTGTCCTAACAAGACAAGTCGCGACACACAATAAACGTATCTTTTCCATGTTAAGAGGACAAAACTTGTGGAAAATGTACCATTTATCGTATGTTTATGACCATTTATCGACATGGTCTCAGTGAGGTGGATTTTTAACTAATTATTCAAAGGTCAGTCTCTTTCTCACACAAAGCTTTTGTTCACTCTCAGAAGACTTGGAATATAGTGATAGTGGCACTTCTGGAGCCGTTTTTGTCATTTCTGGAGACTGACAGCCCCTCTGCGTCTTTTTCAGTGTAAGATATTTATCATCTTGGACACGGTACATTTTTTTGTACCGCTGAAAGTAAAGAAAGCCATACAGGATTGGAACAATAAAGTGTAAATGATGGCAAAATTTCATTTTTGTGTGAACTATCCCTTGCATAACCTGGCAGCTGTATTTTTCATCTTTCAGAGGAGTCTGAGGTATTTCTGTTGGCGTTACCCCACTGCTCCTCTCTCCTTTATGCTCTTCTGTCTATTTTTGAGCCATGCGAACGTTCCCCAAACACAGAATTACATTGAAGAAACTCATTTCTGCGACCCTGGAATCTTGAATAAATGGAAAGGGGGTAAAGAGAGAAAATACGGGAGCAATGGAGTCACACCTCTATTATACTGAAGCAAGATATTGCTCTTTCTTCTTCGTGTCTATCTTCCCTCTCAGCTCTTTTGCTGCCACTTCATTCCCTATTTGTCAAGTCGTCACCTCAAAATTGAAATGAATCTTCGCTAAATTAACCTTCAGACGAATCTCGAAACATTTGAGCATCTATATTTACGGAAACAGACACAATGAGTTTCTCTGTTTCTCCAGCTTGGATGGATTTCCCCATCTACAGGTGACTGGAAAAGGTCTGTCGCTTCCGTAAGGAGTCGCTCGGAATTCCGGACAGGCTGCAATTCTTTTCTTAGACGAAGAGACGCCTCCGAGCCTCGGCGTTTCAATCGATCAGACGTCTCTGTGACAGGGTATCGAGTCCTTGGCTGGCGAGCGCCAAGCCCTGTCTGAGCCAGACGTAATCGATACACCAGTAAACCACACATTCCCTGTGCACTCTCACAGGCTTCTGGCTGAGGCGCTAATTGTGTTTTACAAAGCCAATGCTCCCTCACATCATACAAATCTTCACTTCTAAGTACTGAGACCTCTGGGGAATAAATCTAAATGAAATCCACCATGCAGTAACAGCAAGGTCCTCCATTTGAGGAAATAACCACTGCTGACTCTGGAATCTGTTATTCAGTGACTAATGAAAGGAGTGCTGAATGATATTTATTCTTTAAAACCTATAAAATTGAATACAGGTTCATGGGCAAGTAATATAAACTACATAATATACAAAATATATTTAAGTATTTTACTTACATTATATTTA